TGATTTTGTAACAAATTATATTCATTATGTAATGTTAAGTAGGAGCACAATTGGATTTTCAACCAGAGATGTTCTTCCACACTTGATGTTGAAATACTCAATGGAGAAGATTTTTTTTTTTTTTTTTTTTTTTNTGAATATCTATGTACTTGTAAATTTCATTTAATGGATTTATATTTTTGTAGGTCTTTCATTTGTTTATTTTTTTAGTACTTCATTTATTTTTGTAGGTCTTTCAAAAAAGTGAGGAGTGGAGTGTGAAATAAACAGAAATACAATGAATGCTACTCCTTGAATTTACTGTTCAAAATCGGTAAATGCTTTCCATAACATACCGATTATTCTCAAAATAGTTTATTGTACTATTATTGTAAGTGCTGATTTATTGTTTCCTGTTTTTATATATTATAAGAAAATATTAACATTGATAAACTATAAAATCATTGTTTTTATACATTCTAATATCCATGTTACATTCAATCCTTATCCATACAAAATATTTTGAAGTAATCTATTTTAAAAATACATTCTAAAAAATTAGTAATAAATAAAATAGTATATTTTTTCAAAAATAAAAATCCACATTGAAGGAAGGAAAATAAAATTGGTGAAATAGACACTATTTAAAAAAAAAAATATGAAATAGCGGAATGAAGTTTAATTTGTAAAGTCACTAAATATGTAGAAAATATTAGAAAGTATAAAAGTTGATTTGAAAGAAAATGTTTTTTGAGCAGTGGATATCTAATCTTCAGTTTTTAAAATTCTAATGGTAAAAAATTGACACAACAAGAGTTTCTAGGATGCTTGGATATAGATTTTTTTTTTTTTCTTGTTTGGATTGTTTTGTTGTTTGGTTAATTTTGAAAAATACGTATGGTTAGTTTTAAGTGTAATTTTGAATTTATATTAACATAATATATAAAATAAAATAATTAAAGTTGATTTGATGTAAAGTAGGAGAGAGATGATATGAAGTGATAGTTAGTGAAAATTATGTGGGTGGATGAATATTGAATTAGAGTTGATGAAATGTGTAAGAATGATTGATTTATATTATTTAAATATATTGAGGATAATGAAGTTGAATTAAAATTATGTTATATTTGAGTTAAAAAAGTGATTGATTAATAATAATTAAATTTTTTTGAAATGTTTTGTATCCAACCATCCGTGTTTCGTGCTACATGCCACGCTAGGTATTGTAATCTTGACACTATTGTATAACTGGTTTCCTGTAAAATCAATTAGATACTTAAGTTTTTGAGTGAATATTTTTTATATAATGAATATACCGTTGTTCGAACATGTTTGTTTAACAAAAAATTCTTATGTTTTTTTTAATCCTATTAACTCTCATTTGTATATGCATTTATAAAATTTTATTTATATATAACTCTCTGCCCATTAATCCTAGTCATTTATTTACTATGCAATTGTCAATTCCTTTTCTTCCTTATTATCAGGTGAACCAAAGAGTTGGTTTAATTAGAACTTTTTAGGGTTTGTGGTAGATTTGAATTTGTCCAATATATTACATAAACAAAAAATTATGTTTATATTGTGATCAATGCTCACTCACTTAATCATTTTCTAATCTTATTAACATTTTTCTGTTACTTTTAATTTTTTATAGTGAATATAACTAAGCCATTTAGGTCATTATTTTCGAAATCATTTTTTTCTTTTTCTGTTGTCATTTTCATTAGCATTGTTAGGATGCTTTTTACCGTCCTGATTCAGTCCATTAATAATGCCGACGTAGAACGCTAGTGCCCATCTCACCACTCAGTGTGAAACGGGTTGCCGCTCAAATTTGGTTCATGCAGCCCAATATGAATGGGCCCACCGGCCATTAAACCAGTTACCTAGACAGGTGGACTGCTACCAATCACCTTACATGATATATCCTTTAGGCGCCTTCCACGTGTCTCATGACTCATACCAAAGACCTTCCACGTGTCTCATGACTCATACCAAAGAGTCAGTGATGAATTTTTACTTTTCTTTGTATAAATATCAGAAGTTTATACACCAAAAAATAATCAAAAGATGGATGAAAACACTCAAAGCTATTAAAAATTAATAAATACAAAGGTGCAAGTATATTGACACAAGCATTTAATTCTCTATTAGTCATGTTCTTAAATTTGCATTTACTATTCTAACTTAAAGTCATGTTGATGAATCTACAATCAACGAACATTAAAAGCCGTTGGCAATCGCCTGAGTTTAGCATGATTATCAGTTTTCATTGATCAACATCATTCGCGGTTCTGAATTCCTTTTATTCATTCATTAATAATCCCCTTTTATTTTCTTTATTTCTTGGGATAAATTAATAAATAACTCAATATTTTACATCAGTATCCAATATATATAATTTCTACGGAAATGTTTTGGAGGACGATCAATTTTGGGTTTCAGGCCTAGCGTGCCTTGTGTATTGGGCTTAAACAAGAACTTTAGGGTCATGATTAATAAATAAAATTTGTATCGTACGATCAATCTTAGAAGTTGGATCAAAGCATGGATTACTATCAATCTTATTATTTACCGGCCCCTTATATATTTTTGCCTTCTCATAATTT